CCCCAAAACCCCAAAACCCCAAAACCCCAAAACCCCGTTAGTGAGGGTAATTATTGATTCAAATTAATATTCTCCTTGATAGCCTCATGCACCATGCTTTTGTAGATAGTGCTCTTCCCCTTCTCCTGAAGTAAAGAGTCTACACGCACAGGAGACATCATGAAAGAGTCTGTCAAAGGCATGTCGTGCCTTGACCGCTTGTACGTCTTAATATCGTTGATTGAGTATTGGGGCTTTTGGTGATCTGAGTTGCTTACTTCGAAAGAAGTCTTAGCAATGTTAATGTTGAGATACGCTCTTCTCCATCTCCTCATCATCTTTTTCTTCCTGTATAAATCTGCAGTATGACTCAGTTCTTTTTCATACTGCTTCTCACATGTGTAACTTTTGAGAGTGATGAATGCGTTCTTAAGTAGGTTCATCTCCCTGAAATAATCAGATTGTTCATTAAGTGATTCCCAATATACTTTCTGAGTTTTATAAACATTGAACATTTTAACTGCTCTCCTGAATAGCATTCTCTTATTAAAATGTTCGATATTCTTTTCCTTCTGCTTGAAGTCATAAAGGCTCCAGAGGTTATTCCATGCTTCGATAACCATGCATTGCTTACGATGCTTAATATACTTGTTGCATCTATTTTCTAGGTCCTTTTTGACATCAAGTCTGCTCCTGAGGGCTTCAAAGCAGGCTTTCTGTATCATCTGGTTTCTAATCTTGTTTGCTTTCTCGGCTAATTCTCTTTGCCTATCTCTCTTTTCTTTCTCAAGTTCAACTTTTCGTTTCTGGTTATGAATGATCTCTGCTTCTTTGTGAGCTTGTCTCTCTCGTTGGCTCTGGAGCACGAATCTTTTCCATGCTCTGATATATTTCATTTTGTTGTTCTCATCTGCAAGTTTGGCCTAAAGGGTTTAAACAGAGGATTACCATGTATGAATTAACCATTCTGGCTTGTTTACGTTCGAATTCGATGTTTAGCAACAGGTTGAAATATTTCTTGATTAACCCTTTGTTCTGTATCTTCTGTACAATTTCTGTGTTTCTTTGAAACACATGAAGTTTTTGGATATGGTTCTTCCATGATGCAAACACGGCCTTCTTTCTGCCATAGCTAAGACAGCTGTACACCTTCTCAGTGTTCATGTTGAGCTTAGCAAGACTCCAGTCTTCTTCATAAGCTTGCTTTTGGAGGTTGACGAAAGGAGTTCTCAAACTTTTTGAAATATTTAGTTCATTATACAGCATCAACCAGCACTTAAAATACTTGAGTTTGGTATTGTGCTCAACCACACTGGTCGCTTTCTCTTCATGATGTCTTCTTTGGACTCAGATCTTCAAGCTCTTAATAGTTTTGGATTTAAGCTTCTCTGAGTTATATCTCTCAACCAGTTTACCCAAAGTAATTGTCCTAGGAGCCATATTGATCTTCAAGGCTTCGAAGGCCTTCCCCATGATATGAAGATGATAAGTGTAAATCTCTTGCCTTCTCTGCTCTTCAAGTTCTTGTTTTATAAACATACGTGCTTGAATCTTCTGTTCAGTCTCGTAGTACCATTTTTCAAGGCATTCTCTAGCGATTTGTTGCCTATATTTAGAAGCAACTTCTCAGTAAGCATCGCTCAGAGCCATGCTTTTACGAATAACATGTTTGAAGGCAAAGAAGGTTTCTTCAAGCATCCTGTATTTTCTCTTCTGTTCAAGTTGAAGTCTCTTATCTCTGACGGTAAGGACTTTCTTAAGCTCTTGAAATCAAACCTTTAGTTTGTACTTTTCAACTCGGGATCTTCCTTCCATGACCTTGGCCTTGCTCTCTTTACAGTAGTCGGTGAAGTTGATCCAGGCTGTGAAGATTTTCCTCTTTCTTCTGTTCAAGTTCAGCCTAAAAGGTTATGCACAGGAGTTACAATATCTTCTCTTCACGAGTATCAAGGATGATTAGCTTGTTGTAAATGGCTTCTACGATACCTTGGTGGCGCAACTTCAGCATTTCTTGAACGCTGTTGTCTATCTTGATTAGTAAAGTTTTCTGGAGCTCTGAGCAATACTTGAACTTATCAGTTTCACTTTTCCTACAGAGTGACTAGATGACCTTACTTTGATGTTGATAAAATAGTGTCATCAAGGAAACTTAGAGGCTTATTCGCAATGTTCCTACCATCATCTGTGAAGATACAGTTAATCTTTTGTACTTCTTGGATAATAGAGCAGTCAATGTTATGATCTGTCTTAAGAGTACTGTTCATTTTCAGTAAGTCTTCATCCTCTCACCCAGATTCTGGGTCCTCTTTATACTCTCGGTATGAGAAGAACCAAGCTCTGACCAGAGTTTTGTAAATAGAGAAGTGTTTAATCTTGTCAAACCATCTTTTGAGAAGGGTTCTTCTATAATACTCTTCTGCATGGGCTGTTTTCTCCTCAGTTTCTTGCTTATCCTTCTTTGTCTCAACCCATTGGTAAAAGTAGTCAGATCTAATTTGTAATCCTCTTTTGGTAGTAAATCTATATGTTTAAATCGGTATGCTTACTCTTCAGAAATTTTGTTGAGAAGGATCTTTCTGTCAAGATATTCCTTCATACCTGAAAATCATTCCTTAAGAGCCCTAGCATGTCATTTTCCAAGAGAGTGTTGGATCTTTTGGCGGTCAAGTTTTCTCTTCTTAGCAACTTCCTTCCATGCTTGGAAGGTATTGTTCACATAATTATAAGCTATTTTAGCTTTCTTTTCCCTAATTTTAAAATAAAATTCTTTCCATGTTTCGAATAACTTCTTCTTGTACAGTCTGTCATGTTCTTTCACAGTGATCTCGAGCTCTTTCTCATTGAAATTCTTTATGGGAAGGTTCATTGCTTGGGAAGGATAGATGTTCTTATCGTACATCGAGATATTCTCGATCATAGCTACAGCAGCTCGAATGCACCAGAAAGTCCGCAACTTTTTCCGGGTTTCTATTATTTGTGTGCGGTACTGTTTTAGGCCTGTAAAGCCTTTCCGAATGACGTTATTGCCCCAAAACGTTAATGATTTGATCAATAAGGGTCTTCTTGTAACTCTGTACTGGTACTTCTTCACCCATGTGTAAAAGGCATTCTTGACCAAATTATAGTTCTGAGTCTGCCTAACCTGAATACTGAACTTAATCTCCTTCTGGTTTTGCTCTTTGAATTTGTGAAGGATGAATAAAGCTTTCCTCATTAGAATTTCTTCTCTGTAGCAATAAGCTTGGTACCTAGAGGTTAACCCAAAGAGTTACCATTTCTTAATAAAGGCATCTCTGTCTTCCCCTTTAAGTCCTTCAATTTCCCTTCTATCTGTCCTGGGTTGCAAGTATATCAAGTTGTTGTTCTGAGGATAGTCCAACTGGGATGCGGTATTACCGATATGAGGCACAGAGCTTTTTGAGCTACCTATTTTCTTACAAATTTGGCCTAATTTATTCCTCATTTTCCTCTTCCTAGACTTACTCCTTTTAGTAAACCTCTTCTTTGAAGTTTTTGATGCTGGTGTTCTGAACCTACTCCGGGATGTCTCTGAGATGGTTGACCTGTTCTTGTGTTCAATCATGGAATTCCCCAAAAAGTCAGAGCGCCCATTTGAACTCTGGGGATACATAGTATGGGCAGTCTCAGGATTATGTTGCAGAAAACTTGACACTGAGCTAGCCCTAGCCATCTTGGATTTCTTGACTGACTTATCAAGCCGCTTCGCTTGAGACTTGGTCCTCATCCCGACTGCACTCTTATTGAGCATTGAGTTCTTGCTTGCAAATGTGTTGTTAGTGGTAAAGCCTCTGACTAGAGAGTTCATGCTGTTGTACTTCTTAATGAGTGACTTGTTCCTACTCTGTTTCTGCTTTTCATGGTCTATATATGATTGGGTAGCCTTACCTCGATTCAAAAGGTTCCTGGTCTGGTGCTGCAGGTTAGATTGATCCAGAGTTTCTGTGAAATGAGTCACTTTCGATCTAGAATCAACATTGTTCAAGTTGTACTGATGATCATTGTCAAAGTCAGTGACGATGTCAGGCTTGTCTACATCATCAAAGCCTCCATAACAGTAGTAGATTATCGAGCGGAAAGTCTTTCTCATGAGTCTTTTATTTATCGAATATAATAGCTTTGATCCTCTTTCTGTCTTGTGAATTATCGACATTAGCTTGTTTTACAATATATTCGTAAGCATCCATTACCTCAGGCAGAGGGACTCCAAGCTCGAGGCTGACTTCGAGTACAAGTTGTTTGCCTTCCTGGTCCATCGAGAACATGGCCTTCTGCTTACCGAAATCTCTTTGAGATAACTTTGTAGCACTCTTCTTTCTTTTAAATGTATTAGTACTCTGAATATACTTGATGTCATATGCTTTCTTGAGCATTGTCTGGACAATGCTCATTTTGCGTTTATCGTAAAGCTGAGTATTTCAGATCCTTGAAAAATTGTATGGGTCTTCCATTCCCACAATTTGAAATATTTAAATAATCAATTTGCGCTGCTAAATTTGGGGTTTTGGGGTTTTGGGGTTTTGGGGTTTTGGGG